AGAAGGCAATGGGGAGACATATATAAAACCCTGAAAGACAAAAATTGCCAACCAAGAATCCTTTATTATCCAGCAAAGCTATCAATCAAATATGGCGCTGTAATCAAAACATTCCAGGATAAACAGAAGCTAAGGGATGTTGGCAAAGCCAACCCTGAACTGCAGAACATCCTAAAGGTAGTTCTGTGAACTAACAACCAAAAAGAATAGAAAACAACCAGAGATTGATATACGTGGCAGCACCTCCCAGAATTAATTCAACAGAAGGAAGAATTGAGAACAGAACAAAACTAAAAGAACAAATTCAGAGAATCTGGGAAACCAGTCTATGATCAAAACAAGTACAATGTAAACGAGGGTGGACATGTGGGAACAGAGATCCAGATGGTGAGAAGGTCAGGTTGATAACAGGATAAAATAGACTGCACTAAATGGAAAGAAAAGTTGATGGACTGTAAGGCAACCTCAAAGAAAATTAACACTGCACAACATACCAAGAGAATGAAAATCCAAGAAAAACATGGACACATTAACACTATGAGGAAACTCATAAGAAACAAGACAAAAATTATGAACTCAACAAAGGAAGGCACACAGAACAAAGAAGCAGCAACACCACACAAAACAAACATAATGGCAGCCATTAATCTATACCTATCAATAATTACACTGAATGTAAATGGATTAAATGCACACGTGTTAAGAGACAGAGGATGGCAGAGTAGATAAGAAAACAAGATCCTTCAATATGCTGTCTGAAAGAGACACATCTCACATACAGAGACCAAAAGAGATTAAAAGTCAAAGGATGGAAAAAATATACCAAGCTAATTGCAATAAAAAGCGAACAGGAGTGGCAGTACTAATCGCTGATAAAATAAACTTTAAGGCAAAAAACAGCATAATAGATAAAGATGGACATTATCTCATGATTAAAGGGAAAACTGAATAAGATGATATAACCATAATAAAAATCTATGCTCCCAATGAAAGAGCTCCAAAATACATAAAGCAGACTCTAACAGCTTTGAAGAAAGAAATAGATAAATAGATAATAGTGGGTGATTTTAATACACCGCTATAAAAAATGGATAGAACAACCAGAAAGAAACTTGACAAAGACAGAGAAGAACTAAACAACACAATCAGCCAACTGGACCTCATAGATGTGTACAGGGCATTCAACCCAACAACTGCATAATACACATTCTTTTCCAGTGCACATGAAATATTCACCAGAATAGACCATGTTTTAGGTCACAAAACAAATCT